GTTAGTTGATCCTGTAGTGTCAAAATGTATTGGTTTCCTCTTTCTGTTTCGGGCAAAGGCCCTACGATATCCATGGCTACTTTATCGAACGATGATCCTGGCGTGTCAGTGATTATCATCGGTTGTTTTGTTTTTACTCGTACTAATTTCTTCAACAGACATTGCAAACATTGTTGGATGTATCTTTGAACATCTGATTTTAAGTTTTTCCAGTAATATTTATGTTTTATCCGGTTGTAAGTTTTCGTCACACCTCGATGTCCTCCGACAGGTGAACAATGCATTTCACTGATTATAACAGACCGGAGGTCTTTAGGTGGATATTTAATTAGTCCATTACATATAATTAATTTAGTTTCTGAATCGATAAAATTCAATCGTAGGAGAGGTTTGATATTGCTCCAAGGTACGTTATTGATAGAGTCCGTCTTTGCGATACCAACCGTTTCTAATTTTAGTTGGTCAGCTGTTTTTCGTAAGTCTCTTATTACAGTATCAACGTGAGTTAAAGTCATAGTTGGTCCTTCCCGTAAGCCTTCGCTAACAGGCAAGACCATATGGTGATACTTTTTATGTTTTATGGCTTTCGCCTTTCCCAAGATCAAAGCATTTAAACTCGGGATGTCGTTCCTTTCAAACAGCTTTTGCGATCCTGAGTCTAATGGTGTTCCATTCGTGTCAACGAAGTATGCAACGTTATCCTTGCGTAGAAATAGTAAATCACGAGTTTCTATTACATTACTGTTAGTTGTTTGAATATCGACGATGGTAGGTTTCTCTTGTGGTTTTTGGTTGCTATCGTCTTCGATATTTACTTCTATTTCTTCACTGTCTCTTTCATTGTCCTCTTCATTTCCTTTCGTATTATTTAGTATGTCGGGAGAATCTTCTCCATTTTCATGTTTCTGTGTTAGAGAGTTTTTAAGTGACTCGCTTGGAGGGTTATTTCTATTTTTTGTTACTTGACTCCGAGTCACCATCCCGTGGGATTCAGGAGGGTTATGGACAAGTGTCTCAACATGTGTCTCTGGTTCGAGTATTTCCTCGTGTGTGAGCGGTATTGAGTTTGAATTGTCTTCATGCGAATCATCGTCGAATGGTAGATCTTCTATTTCTTCATCATCATCTGAAAGGTGAAAATTAAAGTCTTCGTCTTCCTCGTCATCTTCAGATTCTTCTAGCATCTGAGCAATTTTTTCGGCGTCTTTAGGATCGTTTGGATTCAAGTTTTTATGGTGGATTGTATTGCAATCTGCTTCTTCGAAATCTACTGGATTTCTCGATAATGCATCGGCATTTACATTAGTTATTCCTGCTTTGTACACTACGTCATATTCATATTCAGCTAATTTGAGTCTCCACCGTAATATTCTCATATTCGCGTCTTGCGCGTTTTTAAACCAAAGTAATGGTTTATGATCTGTGACTAGAGTAAATTTTCGTCCGTATAAGTATGGTCGGAAATGCTTCACGCAATATACTATTGCTAGAGCTTCTTTCTCATAAGTATCGTATTTCAATTCACTATCAGTCAAAGTGCGTGACGCGTATGCTATTGGTTTGTCCTTGTTTATTTCTCCTTGTGATAATATGCCTCCTACAGCAATTCCAGAGGCATCAGTAGTTAAAATAAATGATTTTGAAAAATCAGGATATCGTAAGACAGGTTCTTCACATAATTTTTGTTTCAATATGTCGAACGATTCTTCTTGAGTCCATTCAAAACGCGTATCATTTTTTAACAAATTAGTCAGTGGTTTAGCTAATTTTGAGAAGTTTGGTATAAATCTTCGGTAGTATCCTGCTAATCCGAGAAATTGTTTAATGTTTTTGGGTGTTTTTGGCCTAGGAAATTGTTGTACAGCTTCTAGTTTTTTAGGGTCAGGTTTGACTCCATCATTGCTAATTACGTGTCCCAAATAAGTCACTTTAGTACTTAGAAATTCGCATTTATCTGGTTGTAGTTTTAAATTGGCTTCACGTAGCCGATCTATCAAAAGATTATATTTTCTTTCGTGTTCTTCCAGTGATGAGGCGTAGATAACGATATCATCCATGTATACGAATAATTCTTTGCCTTGTAATCCTGATAGTACCAAGTCCATTAATCGTTGAAAGGTGGCTGGGGCGTTTTTCAGTCCGAAAGGCATTCTGTGGAGCTTTGCGAGCCACCTTGTCAGAGCCGCAAGCAGGGCGGGAGTGAAAGCGGCCAAGCTTGGCCGGCTCCTCCCCAACCTTGGCGGCCCGGACGGCGGGGTACGTCGGCTGTACGCCAATACGATTAAGTCCGTGGCGCTCTACGGGGCCCCAGTCTGGGCCCCAAAACTCGCGGCATCGCGGCGCGCGCGCGCTCAGATGGCGCGTGCGTTTCGCCCGATAGCCGCGAGAATCTGTAGGGCGTACCGGACCGTGGCGTACAACGCGGCGGCGGTGATCGCTGGTCTCCCCCCGATGGAGTACGCGGCGGAGGAACATAGTAACATGTTCCTCGAAAGCCGCGACTCCGAGGGGAGACCCATAAGATGGTCAGCGACTCACCGTGCTCGGCAGAGACTCCGACGATTGCACCGACGACGCACAATTGCCACGTGGCGAGAGGCGCTCTTAGCCTCGGGGAACAACACCCCGGGGCTGCGCCTCGTCGGGGCAATCGGGCCCCTCCTTGACCAG